GCACATGGGGGTGATATGTTTGTTAGTCTTGGCTGCTCTCTGGCCCTGCTGCTGGTAGCTGGGGGACCCTGTCCTGGGACCGCTGTTGCTTCTCTGGCTGCTGTCTGTAACGGTTCAGGGGACGCCTTGAGAGGCCTGTGGGGATGGCTCAGTGGGTGAGGGAGCTTGCCGTGTGCAAGTGTGAGGACCCGGGCTGTTCTCTAACACTGTGGTGACCTTTTAACTTCAGCGGGGCTGCTGGATCACACGGCAATTACATAGTTTAGTTCTCAATTTGCATCTAGCATTACTCATTACTCATTCTTTTTTCTTCTCTTTCTCCGCATAAGCTGCTAACATTCCTGTCTCCTTTGCCACTGGCCATCCCACGTGGACTGAGTTCATCTGATTGTGGCTTTGATGACAGTGATGTGGCCCACGTGCCACACACCTGTGAGGCATTTGTTTGCCCTCTTTTCCTTTTCCTTTTTTTTTTTTTGAGAATTAACTGTTGAGGTTTGTTCTCATTTTTAAGAAGATTATTATTTTTTTTTAGCTACTGATCTTATATATTTTAAAATTATCCTCTTGTTGCATATTTTGAAAATATTTCTCCCACTTCTTTTTAGGTTACATCTCTATTCTTTTGATTGTTTCCTTCACTGTTCTAGAAGGTTTTCAGGTTGATGCTATCTCACTTGTCTATTTTTATTGTATTTTCTGTGTTTGGGGGTCTTATTAAAAAAAATACTTGGTGGCGCACGCCTTTAATCTCAGTACTCAGGAGGCAGAGCCAGGCGGATCTCTGTGAGTTTGAGTTCCAGGAAAGGTGCAAAGCTACACAGAGAAACCCTGTCTAGAAAAACCTAAAAAAAAAAAAAAAGAACTCTACAAAAATACTTGGTCGTTCCTAATATATTTTCCCTCTGTCTGCTTCCACTCTTTTGAGTTTTATGGTTGAATCCTTAGTTCATTTGAGTTGGTTTTTCTGTGTGGTAAGAGATGGAGGTCCAGTTTTACTCTCCTACATGGTCTGGCTTGTTCTTTTGTGCTCTGGACCCATATTTTACATCAGTAGCATGTTTCAATTATTATAGCTTTGTGGTATATTTTCACATCAGATGATATGATGATGCATCCTATGTTCTTTGGGGCTCAAATTTGTTTTATTTAATTTTTGTTTTAGGTAATATTTATTTGGTGTTCCCAAATATATCTTAGGGTCTTTTTCTAGATATGGGAGGAAAGTCACTGGGAGGGATTGCACTGGATTGTAGATTGCTCTAGTCAGTATGAACTTTTTAACCAGTATCAACTCTGAGTCCACAGACACAGATGTCTGTGTATGTGTGTGGCCTTCCCAGTTCTTCTTGTCAGTGCTTTCTACTTTTCACTGTGGAGCTCTCTTCCCTGAGATAATTTCTGTAGCTACTCTTTCCCATTTCAACCATTTCACTGTTGCTCAGTAGAGACACTAGTGACTTCAGCCGGTTTTGTGTCTGGCCCTGCAACCATGCGGAGCTCACTTATTAAATCAGTGTCCTGGGTGGAGTCTTTGGAGTTGTTAAATACAGGCTCATGTCATCTGTCTTCTCTTTGTTTTCATTTCTCCATGCCTCTCCTGCCTCAGTCTTCCTATATAGAGACAGGAATGTGTCCCCCCCTTTTTTAGCTTATCAATTTTTTCTTTACCATTGTTCCTAATCTCTAATGCTTTTGTATTTTATGGTATAAGTTGTATTTCTTATCTTTGCTGTTGTGTTTGATTCATTTCTCTTTTCTTTAGTTTGTTAATTTTATTTTTGGAAAGACCAACTTCATTTTGCTAATGGTTCATATTTTTTTCTTTTCTTTCTTCTCTGGTCTTTATTTTTTTCCTTCAATTAACTATGGGGTTCAGATCCAACTTATGTTTTTCTTTCTTTCAGGTGCCATGATAGATTTCTTATTTAAGAACCTTCTTTTTCTTCATCTCCTTTCTCTTAAATTTCCCTTTGCCCACCCCTCCAATCTTTCTTCTTTCTTATTCTTTAGATTGGATTTGTTATGTTTCTGTTATAATTTAAAGACATTCAAAACTTCCTTGCTTCTTACTTATTAGTTATCTAGGACTTTGCTGTTTAATTTCCATGTATTTGTAGTTTCCAAAGGTTATGTTTAAATTTCTTTATAGTTTATTGCAATGTGTTGGGAAGAGATAGTTGATGATGAGAATTTGTTGAGACATTTTTGTGGACTATCATATGTATGACTTATTGTAAAGAATGTTCCACGTGCTGTTGAGAGGACATATTCTCCTGCTGTTGGTAGAAATGTTGGACCTGTTAGGCATGCTTGGAGTGGAGTCCAGGTTACCTCTGCCATCCCTTTGTTTTTTTTCTGCTTGGATGCCATGTTCATTGTTGAAAATAGGATGTTGCAGTAACTCAATTTGCATTGCATTATGGTTTATTAATGTTTGTTTTTATATTCCTCAATGGTGGGTATGTATATATTTATAACCATTGTTTTCTCTGGTTGAATTGACCGTTTTATCACACATGACAGCTTTCCTTGCCCACTGTCACAGATTTTGACTTATGGTGCATTTTATCTGATACTAGTACAGCTGCTCATGCTTTCCTTTGGAGGAAATGTTTATTTTAGCTCACAGTTTTAGAGGGGTCAGTTCGTGGTGTATGCAGCAGAGCACTTCAGGTCCCCATGGGCCAGGAAGCTGGGAAACCTGGAATGCTGCTGCTCAGCCACAGGCTCTTCTCTCTCTCTCTCTCTCTCTCTCTCTCTCTCTCTCTCTCTCTCTCTCTCTCTGTTTTTTTAAAACAGGGTTTTTCTGTGTAGCTTTGGAGCCTGTCATGGATCTCACATTGTAGACCAGGCTGGCCTCTAACTCACAGAGATCCACCTGTCTCTGCCTCCTGAGTGCTGGGATTAAAGGTGTGCGCCACCACCACCCAGCTTCTTTCTCTTTTTTATTGCATCCAGGCCTCTGCCCCATGGGTATTGACATTCACAGTCAGGCCAGGTCTCTCCCACCTCAGTTAATCTGGAAACACCCTCATAGATATACCCTGATGCATGTCTTTCCAACCTCCTATGTGATTCTAAATCCAGTTACATGCACAATGAAATTTAACCAACATTTCCCGCCCCCCAACTTTTAGTCTATTACGTATCGTCAGAAGTGAATTTCTCGTAAACAGCACACAGTTGATGCAGGTTTTCATCCATCTGTTGGTGTAGTAAGGAGGGACAGGACCAAATCCACAATGGTATGGCATGGTGTACCAGTGGCAGGAGATTGCAGCATCTGGAGTTGATGCAGGTTAGGCTACAAATCTATTTCACTGGAGCCTTAGTTCACTTCCTGGGGCCAGGGTTGCTGTGGATGTCTTTCTGTATGCTGTAAATATGTGTTGCTCTGATTGGTTGATAAATAAAATGCTGATTGGTCAGTAGCCAGGCAGAAAGTATAGGCAGGGCAAGCAGAGAGGAAAATGCTGGGAAGAGGAAGGCTGAGTCAGGAATTGCCAGTCAGACACAGAGGAAGCAAGATGTGGAGGCAGAACTGAGAAAAGGTACCAAGCCACGTGGCTAAACACAGATAAGAATTATGGGTTAATTTAAGTGTAAGAGCTAGTCAGTAATAAGCTTGAGCTAATGGCCATACAGTTCATAATTAATATAAGCGTTTGTGTGTTTACTTGGGTTTGAGCAGCTGCAGACCGTGTGGGACAAGAAAAATTCAGCTACACAGGGTGGTCCAGAGTCTCCATCCAGGAGCATTAGCAGATCCTAATGACCCTGTCCCCAGGCTAGTGCTCCTGGACTGAGACTCTTTCCTGTCAATCCATTTTTTCATCATACTAAAACTAGGTCTTGGTATCTTTCATTTGGCCTTGTTAGCTCTTGTGACAGTGGTTTTAGTGGTGAATAGAGCTATTTAAGATGCTTCTGTGGGGAGACAACTATGTGTGGGTGTGGGCCTTAGTCTACTACTACCCTTTTAAGGCTTTTCTACCTCAAGTACTTTGTTAAAGAGATATAAAGCATGGTAACAACGACTCAATGGTGATGGAGCATAGTATGCTGCCCCAGGCTCTTACAAGTCCCAGGACCTGTCCCTGGTGCTTGAGCTGGCTTTTGGGAACCCAATCCCCAAGCTGGATTGCCTTGCCCAACCTTGATGCAGGGAGGAGCTTGGTCCTGCCTCAACTTGATGCTTTGTTGATGGCCATGGGAGGCCTGCCCCTTTCTGAATGGAGATGGAAGAAGAGTGGATGGGGGGGGGGGTTGAAAGGAGGTGGGGGAGGGAACAGGACAGGGGAAACTATGGTAAGTATGTAGAATAAATGAAAAAAATTAATAAGAAAAAAAAGTAAAAAACAAACCAAACCAACAACAGTTTTCAGCCTGTACCTCCCAGGGCTTCCAGCAGCTGCCGAGCATAGTCCCTATGGGATCTGCAACTGGTTTCTCAGGAAGGACAAGGAAGACAATGTTCTAATGAACTGGGGCACTAGAGGGGCACCAGGCCTTCTCTTCTGGGCGTGGGGTCCACTCATGCCCCTGACAGCAGGAAAATCATGTTCCCAAACTTTGAGAAGTGGAATTGCAAAGAGCACTGGGTAAAAGGCTTCTGGGACACTGTCACAGAATCTTCAGGTTGGTCCCCTGAGGCACTGCATTCTACTTTGGCCCCAGCCCTGGGCGAAGACCGACGGCTTTTGTTCTTTCTTTTTTAATTGTGGAGGGAAGGGTTAATCTCTGCTTCTCTCCCCTCAGTGATGATACAAAGTGTGACACCTTTCTCCCATGACACCCAAGGGCTGCGGCTTCCTTTTAGTGTGCTCCAGGGAGGCTGAGCACACTGTGGTGACAGGCCACTGGGCCAGTTTCACAAGATAAATACCTGGGTAGCCACCGGTCCCCATAACCCTTAGAGCCTAGGAAGAAAGACAAAACCCTCCCTGCCCAGAGTCCCAATGCTCCCTGCGACAGCAAGGCACTCATTCAGCCAGGACTGAGAGGCAAAGTCCTTGTTTATTGTTGCAGCAATTCTTATACAGACGTTAGCGTTCAGTTAAATAAGGAGAGAGCACATTAAATACATCACAGCCCCAAACCAGACGACCGCGGCCACGGCACAAAGAAGGGGAGGGGAGGGGTCAAGACTGGTGACCAGACTGTCCGAGGAAATACATTCAGTGGGTGTGCAGTGTCCACATTCCAGGCTCACGTGTAGAGATATTTTATTTATATATATTTATATTTATATATAGAGATCATTGAGTTTCGTGTATACAAAGAACGATATCATTACAAATACAATACTATACTTCTCCCAATGTTTTACAGTAAGCGCTAATGCACCCCGTTACAGAACAGGGGTGCTAGGGCATACCCCAGGTGCTGTGCTAAGTATGTACAAGAGATTTCATTCCCACATGGTCATCATACACTGCCTTGATGGAGAGAAAATAAAACCGGAGTTGTGTGCTCAAGTGGACCCTAACCAGGGAAGGAGGAGCGGACAGAGGGGCAACGCAAACCAACAGGTAAGCCTTGTGACGGCGAGTTGAAACATCAGCGAGAGGTGGCCCTTGGTTGTAAACATTGGTGACAGCTACCCCGGTGGGTGGAGAGACCCGAGCAGGGCTCTGTGGGTGGGTCTTCGTCAGTGTGCGATAGGGAGCGTGGGTGTGGATGGGGCTGCAGGAGGGAGGAGGTGGAGAGTGGGGGAGGTAGTAGGTTACTCTGGACTCCCTGAAGGCCAATGTTGATGGGCAATGTTCCGACAGCAAACCCGTGCGCAGGGAGGTGGTGGCCTGCTGTGTGCTCTACCCCCGGGAGCCTGCTGTGGTGTGGGAGGAAGGTATCGCTCAGGCAGTGGGCTCCAGCCATTGATCTGTGGGGCTTTCTTCCTCTCGTGAACTCAAGGCTGATGGTGGCTCCCTGAAGGGCTCCTGCTGGAGAAGGCAGAGTGGGATGTGGTGCAGCCTCACTGGACTGGGGGTGGTGGTGAATCTGGGGGCCTGTCCCCAAACCTGAGTCACTGTCGTGTCCCAACCGAGTGGGCAGAGTGGCTCTGTGCCTTGCAGTTTGGGGAGGGCTGCTCTGTCCATAGTCGGCCCCATCACTGGGGGTGAAGAGATATTTACATATGTAACTATGTATGTGAGGATGCCAGACAAGACCCGACCCCAGGTTAACCACTCAGCCTGACGCCAACAGAGGAAGAGCATGCTCCAGCCATGGGCCTGGATCGAGCTGCTACTGCTTTCCCTCTGGGTGGGAGGAACCACTTTAACACAAAAGACTAGGTAATCTTACAATCATGCTAAACCATTAGTTTTCTAGAAGAGCTCACAAGAAAAGCTTTTGAACCCCTCTTAAAGCTTCCAGGGTTCTTGTCCCACAAGAACGGAAAGTATTTTCTCTTTCCTCTTTCCCTGGGTGAAGACACTTCACTGTGATTATTTGGGGGGGATTATACTGGGAGAGATGTGTGTGTGGAGCCTGTCCCTGACCAGTCCCAGGCCAGCCTCTGCTGTCCCCCTGCCTTCCTTTACAGGTGCTTGGGCATGCACCCATGGTGGCCACCCAGGGTCTAATAAGCATAAGCCTCTCAAGTGACTTTCCAAGGTTCCCAAATGCCTGAAATGGCAGCAATAATGTCACTTTTTGTCTGATCCATCACTCTCTGGCAGAGGAGAGATGGCCTGCACTTTTCAGCGTGCGATTTTATTAGATACCTGACAGATTAGTTATTTCAGGAGGGGTGAAGAAAATCCGGGCCATAGTTCCTGGTCTTCACATTGGCTGGGGTTTGACCTTGGGCTTGGTCTCACAGGAGCATTCTGTTGGACACCCTTAGAAACAAGTCCAGATAGCCTGGCTCCTGGGGTCCCAATTCCACACAGCTCTCAAACAGCAGCGGCCCTGTCACCTGTCAGGCAGCTATCTGGACAGCTGGTGGCCGCACATCGCTGGAACTTTCGTACTAAAACAAAACCGAAGGCTCCAGCACAGATCCCTGTGAGCACCGGGCTTTCCTGATCCTACCCACCCGACTCATGGGGATGACTGTTTCCCTCCCTAGCTGGAGCCTCTTGTTCTTCATCTTGTTAGATTCATATCTCTCCCTCCCCCAGACCCCACCCTCCTCTCCGTAAATCCATCCTCCCTAACACTGCTCCCTGAACTGCCATGTCCACAGACACAACGTAAATATCCCAGATGCAGAGAACAGGAGCTATGTTCATATTACAAAATATATTAGATTTTCTTCCCCTGTCTCTACTGAGGTCATCAATGAAACAAAACAAAAACAAAAGCTAGCCACATCCCACAAGAAAACAAACTGCTCTTTGGACCAAGAATAAGTGGAAACTGGCTCAGAATAATATTAAAACACATGTACTAGACTGAGACATAACTCAAAACATGAGGCACCTGATGGAAACATCAAGCCTTCCACACCAGCTACAAACTCCCAGACCTAGAAGACAGTAGATGTTGTTTCCAGAGCACATTTGGGGATTCCTAGGGCCAACACCAAGCATTAAGTCTGCTTGATTTATGACTTAATCTAGTCTAGCCTTTGAAATGTCACATCCTCATGAGTGGCTGTGAAAGGACCCAGGCTGCCTTAGCTTTGGGGCAGGAAGCACGACACTAGGTTACCCATATCACAGTTTGTCCCTCAAGAACCTCCAGTGTGTGTGTGGGGTTGGGGAGTCTTAGAGGGCACTCTGAGCCAATTGGGATCTGGAGGGCCAGGCCTGAGCCAGGAGGGCCTCTTTCTCAGGATAAGGCTGGCCATTTTCTGCATGTGTCAACCTTCTGCTGCGAGAAGGGATCTTCCAGAGGGGTGCTGGGGGTTCCCCAGACTATGTGCTAGATTTTCAGCCTACCTCAATGCAGGTGGAGAGCAAATGAGACACTGTGCAGGGAGTGTGTGTGTGTGTGTGTGTGTGTGTGTGTGTATATTGTACACATGTAGTAAGTGCTTGTGCAAGAATACAGGAAAATAGTACCTGCCTGTGGTCATCCTCCAATTGGTAACCTTGAGTTATTCTCTAATTGGTAACCTTGGGCCAGTCTTGGAAGCCTGAGAGGCCCTGTGACTTCCCAGCATCTCTACAGTGTTACAGCAGCCTTGTCTAGGCTGTCACATCTTCTCTTCTCTGCAGTTAGGCCTGTATTAGCACACACATGGAAACTAAAAGGAACTATGGAAGAGATTTAAAGCTGGCTCAGAGATTCTGGGCTGAAATGATGTATGAGGCCGAACTCTACAGTAGGCAGTGAACATCCTTGAAGATGTGGGCCGTCCCGGTCACCGCTATCTTCCCATCAAGTGAGGCAGGGGGGCGGGAGATCGGCAACTGAGGGCAGGCACTGCTCTGCGAGCTCCTTCAGGGAAGCACGTGCCTCTTGGGGAGGGATGATGCCCCCTTGGGCAGTGACAACCCCCTTAGGGCCCCCAAAGGCCCTCCACAATGATCCCAGGTAGATAGACATTAGCTGTTCTCCACCCTCAAGGGGGCACACACAAAGCTTCCCTGGTATGAAGGAAGGAACAGAAAAAAGCAAACTGGAGAGAGACAGAGAGCCAAGAGGCCCTTGCCGACCCTTCTCTTCCTGTGTAAGACCAAATGCTGGGCACGAGAGGGGACGTCTCAGTGGACACGCGATGCAGCACACAAAACACGACCACGGTGAGGAGAGTCCTCCATGCATGCCGCCGTGGAGGTGCGGCTCAGATGTAAACGGGCTGCTCCTGGGCGGTCAGCAGTCTGTACATGGCTGCTGGCATCGTCTTCATGTGGATCTGAGGGCAGAAAGCCATGTTAGCTGGGGCTGGGGGTCACGGCCATAGTACCTCCCTCTCACTATGCACAGTTTCTGAGAGAGCCCATCCCCGACCGCCAGGCTTGGTCTAGGAAGAGTGAAGCCCGCAGGCGTTCTACAAAGTTTGGGGGTGACTGTAAGTGATAAGAAAATCTGGGTAAGGCTTAGTTTTCCAGTTCAAGGCTCCTGTTTTCACAATCCTTTGGGGGGAAAAGGCGGCTCCATGGGAAGGAGGGCTCTGGGTTTCTGGCTGCCTGTTTCCCTCTCCTGTGTGGGAGCACCAGGTGGAATTAAAGCAGGAACAGAAGCCCCACAAATGTAGTTAGGACATGATGTGAGTCAATGCTGTGGCTCCTGGCTTTATGAGTCTTGAATCTAATTTGTGTCTTTCAATCTCATTTGGTGGAGTTAATTGGGGAAAATGAGAGAATTTGGGGAGCCACAGACAGTAGCAACACAAAATGAGTGCTGAAGAGAAGGCAGGTGAGCTTACTTCACCCACGCCTGAGGCAGATGGTCTGCTCAGAGGAGCATCTAGGGAGGGGGAAGGAGGCTCGAGAAGGTTCCCAGCAAGGCCAGCATGTACCAGGGGGACACACAGTACTTCAACCCTGTCCAGCCCCAGACCTCCTTCCTACCTCCCCAACAGCATTGGAGAGGATGTGGACGATCTTCTCATGTGGTGTGGCTACGACACTCTGGCCGTTGATCTCAATGATCCGATGTCCCACGCGGACCCCGCCTCTCTCGGCTATTCCCCCTCTCATGAGGCTGCAGATCTACCGGAGGCAAACACCAGGTTACACCTAGTGGGCAGCGCCACATCACGTGGGGGTGGGAGACGGTCTTCCCTGGAGCCCTGGTGCACTAGCTGACTTGGTGAGGCTTGGGCTATTTAAATCTCTCAGCTTCGTTTTATGAACAGTGGGTTCTGTGGGTTGGTAGGGAGCTCAGGGATCGACTGTTTAACCAGCATGCACAAGATCCCGTGTCTGATCTTTGGCACCATATACAGTAGCAGCAAAAGTAGGTTCTGTAGGTCCAGCAGCCTGCATGTGTACAATCTTTGCACAGGGGCACAGCAGGTGTGAACTTACCAGTATGCTCAACTCCGACCACTTTCCGTCCTTGTTAGGCCTATCTGTTGGTGGCCAGTGTTTCAGTCAGCCTTCCATAGTCTCAAGCAGGCTTACCCACGGAACTGTGTGATGCTATCATCATCATGTATTTGAGGATCACTACTACATGATCCGAAGAGGCACTGAAAGCCTACTGTGTTCCATGGTATGGCTCAAGGAGAAAGGTACCTGTCGTTCTTCTCGATTTGGTGGTCTTTGCCAAACTCACTTCTTACAGGGATGGAATCCATGGCACAGCCAGCTCCTGCATATGGTTGGGCTGTGACCACTGGTGAATGAACCCTCCCAGTACTGCAGGTTGGGGTGCCTACACCTTACACACTAAACAAGAGTGCCTGTGAGTGAACTCACTAAAGTTGACTTTACACCTCAGACCGTGCATCTTTATACAAAAGTTGATGCAGACAGGACCTTCAGCAAGGGAGCTTAGTGAGTCTGGAGTGAGCGGGTCCTTCCGGCTCTAAGCTGCTCTCAGCTCAAATGTTCCATGGCTGATTTCCACCCTGGAAGTAAGACTAAGGGTCTAGGGCTAGGGGACTGTGGTTCCTTGGCTGAATGGTTGCCTAGCACACTCCATCTCCAAACAAACAAAATCTCAAGAAGCTAGTCAAATTACAACGGAAAACCCCAAATCTATTTACTGAATGAAAGGATGAGGGGAATGGACCAGCTGGAAAAAAAATTCAATATACCTCCATTTCCATTTGTCAGTATCTTGGAAAAGGGTGTGGTGTGACGTGTACTTACAATTCCATTCTGGACGCTGAATCCCAGCTGGTAGCGAAGGTCCGGCCTCCTTATTAGCACTGTGGTCACGGGAGGGCACCTCACAATGTTCAGCTTTACTCGGGACTGGTTCTTTAAGCCCTTAAACGTGAATAAAGTACAGTGGAGATGGTGACCACTGAGTCAGGCAGAGTAAATAAAAGCAGACATGGCCGGACACAGAGGCAGGGTCCACACCAGTCTTCTGAAGGCCGTGCGTGCCTGAGCTGGAGCCAATCCCATGAGACCTCCCTGGAACCCATTCAATCTGTGTGAGATGGGTGACCAGCAGATGGCTGGAAAGTGGATGGTGTCCGTGGACCTGGCAAAAGTACAACTAAAGGAAAAGAGTCACATGTGATTGACAGATGAGGATGCACACTGTTGGCGGAAAGTCACATGGGACATAGGCTTTTTCCTCTACAAGGTGGACTCCAGCAATGACTCCTAACAAAGAGCATACACTCAGAGCAGCAGCTCATTCCCAAAGCCAGTTCTCTCCAGCCTCTGACCTCTTCTTCCCCCTCAATGTCTGGAGAGCTCTAGCTCATGGGTATTCCCACCACAACTGGAAGCTCCAGTGAGTATTTGCCTCCTTAGGTTGTGATGGATTATGAAGAAGAAATGAAATATGAAGACTGTACATGGGTTCATCTTTGGCCGTCTGCCCTTCCTTTAGAATTACCAGAATGGATGGTAGAAGAAAATCTGGCCTTTAATTAGGAACAGGAACCGGTTTGGAGCTTCCTACACATTAGCCAAACCATCTCTCCCTCAGGCAGGCCCACCTACCACCTCATCAGCTACATGCTGAGAAGTGGGAACCAGGCCGAAGAAGCCAGCCCAGAAATAAACATGCCCTCTCCAGTGCTGCTGGCTCTGAGGAAGGCCTGTTCTGACTGGGTTGCCTCCTGCTTGCCAGAGCAGATGCTCTGAGGAGAGCATGCTCCAAAGCTCTCCGTGCCTTTCCCTGCATCTTCAGCACGGAAAGGCTCCGGGAAGATGTTCCACATCCCAATCCAAGAAACACTGTACAGAGAAAAATGGCATTTTTTTCTCATCTTGGTGCAAACAGACCACACTGGTGTGGCTGGAGGCCCTGCTGCTATTAGAGCTGAGGCCAGGCTATCAGAGCACTCAGGAAATGCCTGCCTGTCTGGACTCCTATCTGCAAGACCAGCCGACTAAGAAATGGCTTAAGGTCAGCTTAGACCTTCCCCCAAGGGAGCAAGGGTAAAAGGGTCTTGAGGTGGATGAGAATGTTCTCCACTGAGAGTGAGAGGGAGCAGCAATTTGAGGGGGGGCAGGGATTTGGAGGAAAAGCTAGCTTTTATTCAGGTCCAAGATATCCCTTAGAGATAGCACCCATGTGACTTGATGCTCACTGTCACATTGGCATCACCAGTGTTCCCAGTGAAACAGGCTAGGGAACGCCTTGGGGAAGGGAACAGTATTTTCAGTGCAGTGGGATGACAGAGTGCTGCTCCTGGATAAGATGCCTGTGATGGCCTTGGACTTTCTGCTGAGAGCATGTCCCATCGTCCTGTCAACAAGACAGAGAGAAGGTCTGGCTTTCTGTTCTGAGCAGTGGGAAGGGCATAGCCGGGTGAGGAGGACAGTGCTGGTGTTCCTAGACCTGCGTTCCGTCATGTTTCTGCTGCCATAAGCAGGCAGCTCTTTGGCACTTTGCTCTATCTGAATTTCTCTACTGTTTTCTACCTGGGGACACTCACTGGGGTCTCTGCCAGGTCCAGTTTCTACAAACATCTTCCCAAATGCCCCAACCTGTGACACTGAAACTTAGCCATTAGCCTTCAGAAGTCAGACTCAGTCCCCAACATCAAAGCAGGTATTGGGAAGCGAGGCAGGCTGGACCGCAGCTATGTACATGTTACAGTTTCCTAAGTGCCACCTCTTTTTTGCTCACTTAAGAAGCACTGATATACCGAGAAATGGGTTAGACACTGGACACCAGTAGGAATAAGATTCTCTAGGTCTCTTGGAACTGGGGGGACATGAGAGGCTAAGAGAACACAGAGTGTGTATCAGAACTAAAATGGGGGGACTGAGGCAGCTTGAGTCCCACTACATCCACCCCACCATGTCCCCTGCAGACCACACACCATAATACCAGGAATTTGTGGAAAATGAACTGAAACTGACAGGGTCCACCTGTAGGGATTCTGGTCCTTCATTTCAATGCTTACACCTATTAACTGCCTGAACAATCCAGGAGACCTTCTAGAATATACCAAAATGCATGAGAATGAAACAATTTTTTGTTACCTACAAATTTCACACTGCTCTGGTGAACTGATTTAAGATGCCTGTTGGGTCCCTCAGCAACGTAATTTTTAAGACTGGATAAAATGCGCTTCAATGTAAGGCTTCAGAAATGGCAATTGGAAATAACCAGGGCATGATTTGCTCTGCTATCCCTAATCAGTGTTTCAAGTTGGGTCTCATTAACTTAGATTTCTGACCTGCCATTTTGTTGGAGGTGCCAATTAAATAAACGGTCATTTCGTCCCCATGACAACAGTGAATGATGCAGCAAATTAAGAAATCTGGTGGGAAGGGAAGAAGCCAGAGTGGTATCTATAGCAACAAGAGCAAACTCACGATACTCCTGAGAAGGAAAGGGAAGCCAGGCACTAGGTTGGAAAGGAAGTCTAGAGGGCAGGACTTGGAGGCAAAGGCATGAGCAGAGAGATACCAGCACGCTTCGTCTACCAATGACTATGCTTTAGGAATGAATTACAACTGGAAAGGTAAGAACTAGGCAGAAAAGAATTCAGAGGGTTTCTGTAACTAGAAACACATTCTGCGTCCTGTAATCTGGGGGGAGAAAGGCCAGTGAGCATTGAAGCGGGAAGACAGAGCACGTTGATTTAGACTCCTGTTCCTCAGGGTGCCGGCCAGAAGGCTGGCAATGCCACCTTCCCCAGGAGTTTGCTGAAAAGCAGAGTCCCACTTAAGACTTGTCGGAACAGAACAGATCCCTTAACAGGATCCCCAGGTGGCTCGTGTGAGTGTGAGAAGCAGTGACTGATTAGGATGCTGGGTAGAATAACGTGGACAGGGACCTGCTGAAATGAAGAGCACTACAGAAAAGCTCTGAAGCCCAGACATTGCCCTGCAGTAGCTGGAGCAGTGTGAGCATCTATCTGGGTCCAGGCACAAAGTGGGGTGATGTCTAGAGAATTGTAAAAAATGGCACCGAATCCACTGAGTTCAGTCTTCATCTGGTGTTGGGGGCTCCTCAGCTAGGACAAGCCACAGGTAGGCGATCTCATTTTCCAGCCTGACAAAGCTGAGGCTCTTGGGACACTTGCGAGTGCTCAGCAGTTTCTAACTGGACCTTCGTCCTGCGCAGCTCTGCTGAGGGAGGCCAGCGAGGCAGCGGCTTTCTCAGGCCCTCTTCAGCAGCTGTCTCTCTCATCATCACGTGGGCTTTTCATCCTCCCAGTCCATGGAGATTCCGTTTACAGACATCAAAGTTCAGCTCTTCAAACAACCCTTCCCCTTCAGGAAGCTCCAGGGCCTCTCCGTTCACCTCTGAGTAAGTTTTGTTTCCACCTCAAGTTGGTGATATGTGGACAGAGCTGAGTCCCCAGGCAGTCAAGGTGGTCAGGCTGACCTCACGGATACCACGGTCCCTCATCTTGTCTGTCATTTAGAGGGCAATGTGGATGGGTGAGAGGAGAGTTGGGGTCTAATGGATGGCCAGCTGGGGACCCCGAACCTTTGGGGTTTCAGGAAAAGGGTGGCTTATGGGAAGGCCAGGCCCTTACATAAGGTTGGGAGTTCTCAGAAATTCCTGCTTCTTAAACCCAGGTCTAACCCCCGCCCTACCCCCGCCCCCCCCCCACACACTTGGGTTGCTATAACAAAATATTACCCACTGGACTTACAACCAATGAGAGGTACTTCTAATAGTTAGGCAGGCCTGATGCCTGAGGTTAGGGTGCTGCAGTCATGATAAACTCCTCCCGTGGGCTGCCGATTGCCGGCTTCTGGTTGCTTTCACATGGAGGAAGACCACTAGGGAGCCCTGTAGGGTCCCTTGCATAAAGGCACTGATCCAGTTCATGAGAGCATCACCCTTAAGACCTAATCACCCACAATCGCCATTGGGGTTAGGGCCTCAACATGTATTTTAAAGGGGTACCCCTCTCCTCACCCCATATCCTTTCCAGACCCAGATTAACTCCCTGTAAAGTCATCCTCTCCAGCTTCACTCACCAATTTCTCTCCCTCACTCTGCACTCCACACGCAGATCCTGAAGACTGGCACTACTGACAAGTGGGGGCTGGGTAGGCCTTGGCTGTGGAGGGGGCCGTCCTATGCACGGCAGGCTGTGCCCGTAATACAGTCTTCACAGTGAGAGAGTCAAGGCAGTCTCCAGGCTTCTGGGGCATGAGGATGTCCACTTGCCCAGACACCCTCCCTGGACAGTGGGAGATGTCTTGGGGGTGTCTTTTCACTGGCTGAGTGACCTGTCTCCACCAAGAGTCAGATGTGTGACTGCTGTTCTGTGCCTCAGTTTCCTACTTGGGCAATGGATAGACAACAGTATCTGCTGCATAGAAGTTATGAGGAACCAGAAGCCATGAGTTCAGTGAGCTAATCTGCAACCACCCTCTGGTCAGTGTTGGGTGCAGATTAGCTCACTGGCTTCTGTAACTGTGGGGCCAGTCAAGCTCCTGGGTGAGGACCTACCCACTGTCTGGGCCACACAGCTCCTTGCATTTCTCACGTGCCCACATAAGTAAATCGTTCACAGGAGAGAAGGGCAGTGGTCCTGCCTTTCAGTAGAGGTCACTATGACGACACCAGATTAATCCCCACAGGTCAGGCTGAGTTCTTCCCCTTGACTCAATGCCAGCCTACTGTCAGTCAATTCAAGCAGACACTTCTAAACACTACTGTCCTTCCTGACACAAACCTAGGTTGTAACTCCTTCAAAGTCAAAGTAAACTTTCAAAGTCAAACGTTCCCTCTCCTAAACTCCTGCAGCCTTGTACCCCTGTTGCTACACATCCTTTCAGCTATGTCATTGTCTTGGACATGCATGGCCTCTCCATGGTTCAGCACCTAA